AAAAAAAAAAAAAAAAGAAAAAAGAAAAAGAAAATCCGCACATGGGGTGATGCTCACCTGCGCATGCGCTCTGTCCCACCTGGAGGCGTGCCAGAGCCAGGACAGTTCTTCCCCTTCCCTTCCCCCTGGTCTTGTCTCTCCTTTCTTCCCTCCTTCATTCTCTCTTCCTCTCCCTCTCTCTCTTCTCTGCATCAGAAAGAATTGGGCGTTTGCTCATCCAGGTAGAGGAGGCTTCAGGAGGGAGGAGCCATCAGAAAGAATGTGGACACGCTTTGACTTCCAGCCTTTAAATGGGGGAGCCAAGCCCCCGTCCTGCTCCTGGCCAGGCTCTGGGAGGAAGCGGGGTGCCCTTGGCCCATCTGGCTCCTGCTCGTCTGGGATCCGGGTTGCACGTCGCCCCGACGACACCTGGCAGCTGGCGGGGCCCTGGAGCCCGCGCCCTCCCCCCTGCAGGCACACAGGCCACACGGTTGGGGATTAAGTGGGACATCTGCACATAAGATGCTGACAAAACCACTCCCAGCCTGGAAGCGGCTTGGGGAAAACAGGGCAATTAGATGAAGTCTCCTGCTGGGCGCAAAGCCGGCTCCGGCTGCACGGACGCCTGACCCCGCCCTCCCCTTCTCGTCCTGTCTTTTTTTTTTTTTTTCTTTTCCTACTTTTCTTTTTCACCCATCTACTCCAGCTCACCTCTTTCTGACTGCACTCATCCTCCATTTCCCCTGGTTTCCGTTTCTCTTATGCTCTTCTCCCCGCCCCGCCCCCTTCCTCCTCCTCCTCCTCCTCTGCTGGCTTTCCCTCCCCATCTTCACCATCCCCCTCCCTCTTCCTCGTGTCCATTGCAGGTTTTTTTCCCCTGTCTTGGCTCACCTGTCAGCTGAAGTGGGTTCCGGTTCTCCTGGAGGGGAGCTGCCAGGGGCATAACTGAACACTAAAGTGTGGCATCGTGGTTTTGCTGCAGAGGGGCACAGGGGCCCGCACCCGGGGCCCCAGGACAAAGGGAGTCACAGCCACCAGTGATTGGGCACTGCGACGGGTTCCACGGCAGACCCACTAAGTAGCAGATGGTTTCTGCTTTGTGGTTTAGGGGACCCAGACTGAGACCCCACCAGTCTCACCCAAGGTCATCCTACAAGTTAGAATGTGGCAGTTTTAGAGGTAGTGGATCCGTGGTTATGGGTGTTGGGTGGTGGATCAGTGGTTATGGGTGATAGGTAGTGGATCCGAGGTTACGGGTGTTGGGTGGTGGATCAGTGGTTATGGG